AGTCAAAAAATAAATACATAATGGGGGCTTTTGCGAAGGTTGCTTAAGAAAAATTAGACGATTTTATGAAAATATAAAATAAATATAAAAAAGTCGTAAAGTCGAAAAATTAGTATAATAAATGTTATATAATACTGATATCTTTATTAAAATTTATATATAATTAACAATTAATAGTTTATAAATTTTATTTAAAATTTAAGAGTTAAACTTTAATTTTAAATTTAAGAATTAAAGTTATATTTAGTGTTCATAAAACACCTACTGATTTCTTGTGCTCTTATATATTCTACTCGCTTCTCATGGAAATATGTTTTTGCACAAGCCTGTGTAACCTATATTAAATATTAAAAACAATTTAGTCATTAACAAATTTTTTTATATACAAAGTTATTATATTCTTATAATTAAATAAAAAAGAGCCTGCTTAACGCAACATTCGATGGATTGGGAATGGCATAGCCAATCTGGAACAACCATAAGCTTGTGAAAATATTTTCTGACTTCATGGGTTGTGAGGCTTTTTTACGTTCAAAAAAACGCTGACCCACGAAACAAGACATTAAAATTCTTCACCAAAAGTAACCTTGCCGTTTTTGAAATTGAGAATAAAATAAAAATTGAAACACCCTAATGTTATACACAAGCTCAAAAGAAAAGTTAACTCGGAAAACATCTACTTTTTGTTGTTTCAAAAAAGTAATGATAGTAAAAGTAACATATGAATCGCTAATTAGAAAAAGAAGACATATCTTTCAAAAATTCACATAAGATATCCCCTTTTTTTAAGTTAGCGATTCATATAACAACTTGAGCGTTTTATTGCTTTTATAAAAAAATACGTGATTAAATTGACTAGAAAAACTTGACTAAAAGATATGCATTTTTCGCTTGTGGGTTTATGATATATTTTTGATAAAATATGTAACGAATACCCAAATATAGGGATGGCAAAAATCCCGGAAATTTTCAATCCCGGGATTTCGGGATTGAGAAATTTGTCCCCGGGAAATCCCGGAATTGAATAGAAAAAAACGCAAATGCAATTGAATACTTTTTAAGCACTTATCAAACACTTAAAAATGATTAATTTAATGATAATTTATAAGTATTATAAGTATTATATAAAACAATACCTTAAAATGGTAACACAGTATAAATAAAAATAAAAATTAAAAAATAATATAAATATGTATGACGCTAAAAAAAACTTTCATAAATCACACATTTGAAAGTTAAAATGAATGGATATAAAACTGGAATTAAAATCGCGCATACTTTTGGAAGCAAAATTAAATTAATGTATACCTTCTATTAAAAAATCTTGCTTTTTTTACCAGCAAGCGCTTAAACTTTATCTATTTTTATAATATACTAGTTTTAATATAATACTATATATTATATATAGTATAATATTAAAACTAGTATATTATAAAAAATAACAAAAATATAAGCGCTTGCTTGTGGAAAGAGCAAGAGTTTTTAATAAAAGTTATATATATATATATATATATATATATATATATATATATATATATATATATATATATATATATATATATATATATATATATATATATATATATATATATATATATATATATATATATATATATATATATTATTTTTTAGTAAAATACAGAAAATGAGAGTTTTTTATTGCAAAGATAATAAACGATTACACAACCAAACAGCTACTATACCAAAGACGATATAAAAATTACTAAACTACAATTATAAGCTTAAACTTTATTAACCTTTCCTTCGTTTTTGACGATCCCGATATCCCGGGAAATATCGGATTTTATAAAATTATAACAATAAGTTTATTGCAATAAATTTCTTTTTAAAAATTTCCGGAAATTTGGAGCAAAATTCCCCGGAATATTTACGGAATTTTTCAATCCTACCGGTATGTAAAGTTAAATGTTGCATTTTTGATTTAATTTTTATGAAGTATCTTTTAAAAGTGAAATTATTTTGAACTTTTTTTTTTACAGTATTGTATAAAGTTTTTTGCTATATTTTATAAAATTACTTGTTTTTTAATTAAAAAATATTAACACAAGTTAAAAAAAGTTGCACTGAGTAAATAATACAACGTCATATTTAATTTTATTCACTAAAGTCATAGTAATGGAAATTAAAACATTTAGCGCTTAACTGAATAACTTAAGTTTTGTAGCAGTGCTGGCGCATGCTAATTATGCGCCCCAAGTGAAATTAATAAAATGCTAAATGGATAAATATATTTAAAAAATGACAATAAAAAATACCATTAAATATACTTACTCAATTAATTCATTAGATTAATTTAAACTAACTTCATTTTCAAAAGTCATAGACGATTTTATTAATTTTAGTTTACTAAAACTTCCCTCACCACAAGCAATATAAACAGGAATTGTTACATGAGTCCGCAAACTCACAGATCTAAATATTTTTTTTATTCTCCAATCAGTTCAAGGCATATCGGAAATAAACATATCTAAATTTCTGCTTAGTATTTGTGTCAATAAGGTATGCACCATTACTACAGATAATGGCGAAAAGTTATGCTGGTGTTCTATCTTCTTCATCATCTTCATCAAACGATTCTTATACAAAAAATAATCTTGGAACTTTTAAATCTAACCTCTCTTATGATAATAGTAATGTTTTGATTTGTAAGTATGGTGGTATTAATTTTAGTGTAAATGATTTTCTCATGGCGTTATCTGAAAAGAAGTTGTTAGCTTTGGTTTGGGGGGTAACTAAGCATTACTCCAACAAACTTTTTGAATTTGCCCTTATTAACAGTTACTCTTTGTTTTTGGGAGCTGAAATCGAAATTAAAGGTATTCATCTACGGTTCGAAGAAAAATATGTTCGTAAAGTTCACGTACTTGTCCAAAACATACCTATTGGAGTACTTAGAAATGGATGCCAGGGTGCTGTCATTTTGCTAGGCAAACACCTTGCGATTGGTACAGGAGAATTTGATTCGTTTTATTTGCAAAATGTAAAAGTTCAGGGCGAAGATATATATACTGGAAATGTTGTTATTATAATAAAGAATTGGAAAAATCCCAGTCAAAACCCTTTACCAAGATACCAAAATGTGGATGGGCTAACACTTCGCTATAAACACCAAGGACAACAAGAAACCAACTTACAAAAACTCAACCCAAACAATATAAACAAGCCAATCAACAAGAAAACGTCTCGGGCAATCAGAAGGTGAAACCCCTAAAAAGGTTAACACAACAGATTTAAATCACAAAAATGCGATGGCAAAAGAAGAAGATATTATGCGTCGAAAAAAAGACAAGATTTTTCAAGACAACGAGGCCGACAATCTGATTATAGATGAGGAATATGATTGCCAACTTTGTGCGGAAAAGGAATCGTAAGATTTTTTTCTCATTATTTTTGTTTTGTCTTTCTATTTTTCCTTTTTTTTTTTTCAAATTTGACTTTTTGTTCAAACCTTTCTGTTCTTAAACTTAATTTTTTCTTTCTACAAAAAATCTTTCTTTCGAGTTTTTTTCTGTTCTAATTTTTCTGTTCTTTTTAATTTCTCATTAAAAATGAATGGCACATGTTTAATTATGCGCATAAGCTGTCGTAAATCGTATTGTTGTAGTTCGCGCTTTTTTGTAAAATGTTATGGTCCAGTGCGTCCATCTGTTCGTATTACGTCATTTAAATCGAAAACTCGTGTTCTAAGGTTAAGGTGTGTGTTTTTTTATGTCAGGTTGTAAACTTATTATATTTATGTTTAAGCTACACGAGTTTTCAAATAAGGAAAGCTGATCCTCTCCGTCATGGCTATTAATGTTTTAACATGCAACATAAACGGTCTAAACGGCCAAACCAAACGTGACAATTTTTTTGGTTTTCTTAAAAAGTCCTCCTTTGATCTTATCCTCCTTCAGGAAACAAAATCTGGACCGTCCACTGTAAAGCAGTGGGGTGATGAATGGGCTGGCGAGTCCATTTGGAACTCTGGTCCAAGTCACAGTTGTTGCGGGGTGGCGATTCTCTCTAAACCCAACATTTCTGTAACCGAACTAAAACGAGACACTAACGGTAGAATATTAAACGCCATGATAAAAAATGATGAACACGAAATGCAAGTGCTGAACATTTACGCGCCTAATGTGCCGAGAGAAAGGCGTCATTTCTTTGGCGACCTTAGAGATTTCTCGCAGGACACAGGACTACCCGTCCTGATGGCCGGGGATTTCAACATGGTCGAAAGCCTGCCTCTTAACACAGAAGGCTCGAACAATGCAAAATATCACACCTACGGCATTGCTGAACTCGGGGTCTTCCAAGGTAAGTATAACCTAGTAGATGTTTTTCGTTATAAGTTTCCCAACAAAAGAGAATTCGCAATGGCGCAATCAGACGGTTAAATGTAGACTAGATAGAATCTACTGCCCTGATGAAGTCGCCAAAAAAGCAACATACACCAAAATTCTCACCAACCCCTTTTCCGACCACGAGTTCGTGTCAACAACTGTCAATTTTAATAAAACTAGGAGAAGACCAGGATACTGGAAATTAAATTGCTCTCTATTAGAAATAGAAGTGTATAGGCAAAAAATTGAACTTCTAATTCAAGATTGGCAAACAAAAAAGAGGTCCTACGAGTCTATTTTAAAATGGTGGGACGACTGCAAACTTTTTGTTAGGGCTGAATTACAACACATTTCGATAGAGGAAAGTGCGAAAAACAAAAAACACATCGTAAGGATTGAAAACGAAATCCAACGGGAGCGACAAAACGCTAACCCGAATTTAGATAGCATCAAACAAAAACGCGATGCTCTTTTCTTGCTCCAGTTTCCAGGAGCGTTTATTCGCACGAAGCAAAAACTAATTAAAGAAGGAGAAAAACCTTCAAAATTTTTGTATAATTTGAAAACGGAAAATCTCCGGTCTATGACGGATTTCCAGCTGAATTTTACAAAACTTTTTGGCACATTTTAGAAAAAGATTTTGAAAAACTTGCCTACGAAATTCTTTTTGTAGAAAAAAATACCAGCCGCTCTATGAAAAAATCAATAATTTCACTGATTCCCAAACAAGGAAATCTTACTAAATGCAAAAATTGGAGGCCCATATCTTTAATCGGCGCTGATTACAAAATAATCACAAAAGCGCTGGCCTAAGACTTGCAAAAGTAATGGGGAAAATTATAGAACCAAATCAGACTTGCGGAATTCCAGGTAGAAACATTTTTTCAAATTTACACCTAGTACGTGATCTTATAGATTACGCTGAATTTAAAAAACTACCTAGTTTTATTTTGACCATAGATCAAGAAAAGGCGTTTGACTAAGTCGATCGTGCGTTTCTGCTGCAAATTCTCCAAAAATTTAATCTCGGAGAAAACTTTGTATCCTTTATTAACACCTTGTATTCAGAAGTGTCGGCAGCAGTTCTGAATTGCGGCTTCCTGTCGACCTCCTTTCTTATAGAAAGGGGTGTTAGACAAGGCGACCCCCTCTCTCTTTTGTTGTAGGTTTTTGTCGCCGAAGCTCTGGCTTTGGTGATACGAGCGGACAGCGGAATTGAGGGATTCCCATTACCAGGAACACCGAAACCGCTTAAAATACAGCAGTACGCAGACGATTCGAACTTTTTTGTCAAGGACGTAAAATGTGTCCGTTATTTCTTTGAAAACGTAAAAATCTTCGAAAAAGCAAGTGGTTCAGTGATCAACGCCTCAAAAACCAAGGGTCTTGCTCTTGGAGGTTTTGATCCCGAAATTTATAGAGAATTGGATAACATAGAGTGGAACGACGACACCGGTTTCAAAATTTTAGGTGTTACCTTTTATACCAGATTGAGCAATACTACCAATTTCAACTGGCAAGTAGCTCTTAAGAAAATAGAGAAAAAGCTCAAGTTTCTGGGACTGCATACTTTGTCACTTAGAGGAAAGGCTAATTTGATAAATACGCTAGCAATGTCAAAAGTGTGGTTTCTAGCAAACGTGTTGCCTACTCCAGATTGGGTAATAGAGCGTTTGCATAGAGCCATTTTCGAAAATTTGTGGCAAAAGACCAATTATAACCCGGTCAAACGAGAGACACTTTTCCTACCCGTCAAAAGCGGCGGTCTCGGATTATTATCACCAAAGGAGCAAAGTCTTGCGCTCCGCCTCAAAACGCTCTTTCAAATAAAAGAGTGTGAAGAGGGCAAAACTCACGATTCTTACTACTTTTGAAAGTATTGATTGGCAAGTTCACTTTTAAAATTTACTAAACAGAACCAAAGCTGGAACTTTTTAAGACAAAACACTTTTCCAAAACACTGGGACAACAAAATGTCTCAGTACTACAAAACCACAATTGAAATTTTAAGCAAATACGGGTCCCTGTTTAACATCCCCCTAAAAACAACAAAAAATATTTATTTAGAAGTGGCAAAAAACAAAAAGACAGTCGTGCCAGCTGAACTATTCTGGAACAGTTCAACAAAAACAACAATGCCGTGGACCCAGATTTGGAAAAAAAACTTTACCTCCCACGCATCCGGACCAACACAAAACATCCTCTTTCGATTTCTTCACAACAGCTTAACTTCCGCTGCCTTGCTTGCCAAAAGCACAAGGCAACAGATCGTTAAAAACAACAAATGTAAAACCTGCGGAAAAATTGAGGACAATCTGCACATTTTTGCCTACTGTCCTCCCTCTGTTACAATATGGGAATACTTTAAACATGTATATAACTCCTTAACATCCCAAAACAACTTTTTACCAATAAATTTGATATTTTCGATTGAAACTGCGAATTTATCGGAGAAAAAAAACCCTACCTCGCAGCTGCTTTTGACAATCACTCAAACCATCATGAGTGAAATATGGAACAGCAGATGCCACCATTTGTTTAACAATTCAAAAATTGACCCAATGGCAGTGATCAGGATAATTATCAGAAATATCAGAAATATTATTACTTTAAAATATAATTACCATGTCTGTAGAAACACTACGGACATTTTCTGTCAAACTTTTTGTATCAATAACGTTTTTTGTTATTGATACAAAAAAAATTTATAAAACAAAAAATATATATATATATATATATATATATATATATATATATATATATATATATATATATATATATATATATATATATAAAGTCGGAAAGTTACTTTAATGGAAAAATATTATAAAATATGTTAAAAAAAAGTTAATAGTAAAACTTATGTGAAAAACCCTTTTTATTAATATGAACGATTATTATAAAAAAAATATATATACATTAAAACAGAAATATTTCTTTAATTGTAAAGAGGATATTTTTTTTATTATACAGAAATAGTTTAGAAAAATTGTAAATATTTATTATTTTGAAATAAATTTTATATTAAAAAAAAAAAAAAATATCTTACTCAGGTAAGTATAATACTTACCTGACTGGGAATTAAGTCGGATCATGACCTAACCAAACAGTTAGCATTGCACCTTCTACAATCGTGTGCAATCCTGTCCGCTTTCTCTATGCTATCTCTCTAAT